GAGTTAGTCACTTTGTAAAAGTCTGTAAAATATTATAAATTTATTTTCAATTTTTCAATAAAGACATGCCATTGTGATAAAATTAATAAAGTTAAAATTTATAATAAAAATATAATAAGTGAATTAAAACTTTTGAAATATTATAATTATACAATATATAATAATTAAAATATTGTATCTAAAATTGATTAATATTAATAAGTATATCAAATAAATAGAAACTTCATGTAAATATTTATTTAATATATAATACATTAGAATAAATATACTGTATTATGCTTGTTCGCGATTTAAAAAAAAAAAAAAATTTTTTTATTTTTTATATTACAATATGTAACAATAATATTACCAGTTTTAATTATGCCACGATGCGAAACGTAGCCTCTGGCATTAATGCATTGTTCTCTGATGCACGAATGTTATCAGTTTTTAAAGTTTTTCCAACATCCTATTGTATGAACTTCGACATATTCCCTGTAACGTGCTCACATCACATGCTATTATGCACATCGGCGTGACAAGTGATTTCACACCTCACGTTTTCGACATACAAATTTTTGAATCTGTTCTCGCGACTTTTTATCTTTTCGTCCCACGATTGTACTCACCTTGTATACTTTAAACAAGTAAAATTTTACATTCACTTGATAACAAGTTGAATTTACGACTACTTGAATCCAAAGATCCAAAGTCCCTTTTTTGTACAAATGACAGATTACCCTCGGGCGGGGCATTATCAAAGGGCTCCACACACAAATTATAACAATCAAGTCTATCAAAACTTGGAAAATAACTGTATGCCATCCCAAGAGCTAACCTATGAAACTGAGGAATGTTGGAATAGTCGCACATCTTTCGCAACTTACCAAGCAAGTGGTTCAAACGGTAATAAATAACGCATTCTCTAACCATAAGTAAAAATTTCAGAACTAAATTTCGCGATGTTGTTTATCCATCACAGGCTTCCCTACGAATTATGGGGCTTCTTTGTCAGAACAACCTTTGACGTATCATGTCAATAATCTACAGCGAAACGGACCGAATGGAATTTCTGTGAATACGGCCAATCTTCCATTGTCCAATATGAGTGTGATTAATACAAATACTGGACGAATAATTTGTGTTGCGGATGTTCGAGGTTTAACTTTTATTTCGTGAAAATATTATGCTCCCCATTTAACCTCGGTATTAATGCAAAATCGAATCATTCCGTAGGCAACATCTCTCTATTAAACGAGCTTGCGGCTAAAACCGGCGCGACTGCAATTATTCATACCGGTGATTTTGGATTTTACGGTGAGTTTCATCTGTGTTATATAAAATTTTATAATTAATTGGCACCCAAATATCATTCTATCAATCTTTCTGAAAAATTTTTTTCTTATAGAAAAAGAAAGCTTAGACCGGATTAGTGATAGGCAGGATTTTATCTTCAACATATGGTTTTTTGTCTCAACTCATCAATGAAGTTAATACCATTTGAAATTCTATTTGAATTTGTATTTAGGACTCTGCGTCATATCGTACAGTATAATAATCAAATACCAGAAGAAATTCGAAGTCATGCTCTTAAACCGAAATCATCTCTTGAAGAATTACGTCGAATTATCTATGAATCAGAAGAGCCTCTTCTCTCTGAATTTCCGTACTTTAGAGACGGAAAAAAAACCTTCAAGGTCCCCGTATATGCCGTATGGGGAGCATGTGAAGATGTCTCTGTTCTTGAAAAGTTTCGAATGAAGAAATACAGGATAAATAATTTCAACATTTTAGATGAGGCAAATACATACGTGATTGATGTCGGAGGAGTGAGTTTACGACTTTTTGGATTAGGAGGAGCAGTTATTCAACATAAGTTATTCGACAATGGGGAAGGTATGTTGACTTTATACGTAGTCTCGGAATTTTGGAACATTCAAAATAACTTTTTTTTTTAAAAAAAAAAAAAAACAAAAAAACCATGCTCCAAAAAATGAAACAAATCAAAATAAAATAAATTAGGGATATCTACCATTGCCGGAGGACAAGGCATTATGTGGACAACCATGCTACAAATAGGCGAATTGGTAGAAACAGCTCATAGTGTATGTATGTCTATTTATAATTAGGCACGATAAAAAGTCGTCATTATAGAACTCAGAGATTTTAAATTATTAGGTTTTTGATCCGACGGAAACGAGAGTTTTCGTCACTCAAGCAAGCCCCGGTCGTGAAGGAATTTTGGCGCAGTTATCTCTGGTTTTGCGCGTAGGTCATTTTTTCCGCATCAAGATCTGACAGATACACTTTGAAAACTAATTATAGGGATATTTATAGGCCGACTTTACTATTTCGGCAGGGATTCACTTCCGCTACTGTATATCATACAGTGATTTCTGCGTTCAGCGTGATCATGAACACTTTCTTAAAAAATTAGAAGAGTCTCGTAGAAGTTTCACCGAATTATGGACATCTGTTGGAACCCAAGTGGAAAGCAGTATCGAGTAAGTCACTACGCCTCAGTTGGGAGCTCACATGATTCAAGTTTGTTCGCTCAATTAATTAATGTAAATTTGTTTTATTAATTAGTTCGTCACAGAAACATTTACTGAATAATGCGATGAGCGTTATTAATCGTATTCCCACGCGAGAAGAAGCTTCTTTCAAAAGCATGTGGCACTTCAACTTACCCGATGCAGCTTTCGGTTGGGTACTATTGGACATAAAAGAAGGAAGAGTTTCAGCAGAGACGAAAGCACAAGGTTGCATTTCGAAAACATTTGCTTGTGCAATTTCTAATTGAATGCGAACTAAAATTTGTCATGCCATTTAATTTAGGTTTCAACTTTACTTATCGAAGAAATGCTGGGTCTGTACTCGGTGCACTTCCTAGTCCACCTTCAATAGACGCGCATACCAAACGCCATGCACCTCAATGGCAGTCTCCGCCTCAATCATCCAATGGCGGAGCGGCGGCACAGTCGCACGTTTTAACCCCACAAAGATCCACTTCACCTGTAGCATCACCCGATCTTCACAGCAATTGGAAGCAACCACCATCTAATGGATGGGGAGATCCATCGTCTCCAATTGAAATGACTTCGTCATCAAGAGTTGAAGATCAGAATATTATGGATCGTACAACTCCAAAGGTCAACGGAAACAACGCTAGCGCCAGTGAAATCATAAATACCATAAACAACAATGTCACCAATAATCATGAGATCACAAGTGTCGCTAGTTCAGAACCAGATGATTCCAACAATATCAATGGTATTCAGGAAACCAGGAGTTGGGCCGATCAAACGCAGAACGATGATTTAGGAGAGTCTTCACAACTTCAAGTTAATGGAGAAAATCCAAATAACGAGGATGACACGATCCACACACCAGCACAACAGATTCGTTATCAATACAATAACAATCGTCGAGTATGAACTTACATTTTCTTTGTTTGCTGTTCACTAATGAATTGAATACTACATCTTTTGAATTAAAATACGTGTTGCAAAAATAGAAACATCCTTACTCCGTTCAGGTTGGAGGTTTGCCGCTACCAGCATCCGAAAAAGACATAAAAGATTTCTTTGCTTTAGCCGATTGTCAGGTAGGTCGTATGATTGTTTTTCTTGTTCGTTCACTCTAGAGCTCGGAATTGATATCTCAATTAACAGGTTGAACGCATCAAGCTTATTCATGATAAGACTTCAAAAGAGCAACTCGACCATTGCTACGTGGACTTCCAAGACGAATCTTCTCTGAAAAAAGCTATCGACTTAAACGGACAGGTTTCTGTTTCCCGAATGCTATTGGAACGGATTCTTTTTTTTTTAACACCATATTCACGTGTTTTATTCTTAAACAGCCATTCGGACAAAACCAAGCTCTATTAAAGATTCGCAAAACGGATCCCGAGAACCGACAGTCTCGATTCCGTGGGCGCGGACGCGCGCGTGGGAATTACAAACATCGTGGTGGTCATGGTAATAATGGGGGTAATCACATGCAGAACGGAGGCCCTCAATAAATAAAAAAAAGTGTGATGTGATTTGACATTAACAAGAGCAATGGATCCCTTATTTCCTATTATTTATTAATTTTTTCATTCCCACTTTATAATAATATATTGTATTATTTTTTTTTGTAGAACCCCTACATTTCAAAATATCAATATTTAAACTATACTATTAGTGTTCACAAGTGTTCTAGGTTTATATGGATGTTTACATTGTTTAGTTTTCTTCTTTCTTCCTGGCTTGGAACGCATTATCTATGTACATTTATATTTTGAATTTGATTGTATTAATAGCATTTATATTTTAAGACGTTGGATCGCGAAAAATTTATTCCTTTACGAAAAAGTTGCATAAATTCTCGGGGATTACATTTTTCCATTGTTACGCCAATCACTGTGCGGAGATCATGGCTGATAATGAATTATAAATTCTTACGGAAAAAGATTAATTTGATCTATAAAAGATGTGATTGACCAGTATCAAAAAAATTATGGCGTATTTATATATATATATAGAAAATAATTCCGCACGCCCTTACGCGAATAAACGTTTCTCAGTTCATAGTTTCATGAATATAAGCAAACATGAAGTTTGGTAGTCAACTGAGGGCAGTCCTACATTCCGAATGGACCGACTATTATGTGGATTATGATGGGCTAAAGAAGCTCCTCAAACGCGCTGAGAAAAAAGAGGGAGGTTATACGGAAAAAGACGAGTCTCAATTTGTTGAAATGTTGGATAGAGAGTTGGAAAAGGTGAGAGTGTGTGAAGGATGGATAAGTCTTGGGCGTCTATCAATATTCTTAGATCTAAAATTCCCCTTCGGTTAGGTATATGCTTTTCAAAACTCGAAATACGAAGATATAAAGAATCGGGTTCGTCAATGCGAAAATTCCGTGGAGTCTATCAGCAAAGATCCATCTTTGAATGTAGCAGAAAGATATGCTGACATTGAACGACAGATTAACTCAATCACCGAGGAAGTGAACGAACTGGCAAAATATGCAAGATTAAATTATACTGGTATTATGAAGATTGTGAAGAAACATGACAGGTAATCAATCTGGCTTCCCAATTAACGATAACGCGTTATCCAAATAAGCATCGTTTAACTCACCGCTCTTTTATCCTTCCTCATCACAAGGCGAACAAGTTACACTCTTCGTCCGCTGTTCAATGTTCGTTTGAACGCGTGTCCTTTTTACAAAGAAACCTTCGAACCAGTAATTGTGAATTTATCTCAACTTTATCACATCGTGCATAAAGGTTTGGTCGGAGACGAGGTTCCGAGCAATCTTTCGTCTTCTCTAAAATCTTCCAAAATCCCTTCGCAAGAAAAATTTTTACGTCAAACAAATAAATACTGGGTTCACTATGATAATATAATGGAAGTTAAAACCACTATTTTACGTCATCTTCCGGTGTTACTTTATAAACCTGGCTCGGATTCCTCAGTACATTCGATCTACTTTGACAATGAGATGTTTGAACTTTACCAAGATAAAGTTGATCGTAAACCTGGCGACCAAATTATCAGATTGAGATGGTATGGTAAAGAGATACCAAAAAACGAAGTTTTTGTTGAAAGAAAGATTCGTGAAGATGGCGAAGATGAGGTCAAAGATAGGTTCTCGATCAAAGAAAAATATGTCAGTGGATTCCTGAAAGGTGAATATTCGACGGACAAAATTATCAAAAAAATGAAGGAAACTCCCGGCAAGACCGAGGAAGATATTCAAAACTTCCTAAAGGTAGTCAAGGACATTCAGAATACTATCGGTGAAAAGAAGTTACAGCCAGGTAAACCTGACAACTGTTTATTCGTGTTTCACGCATACTTGTTTTGCCCACTAGTAAACATCTAATCTTAATGATAAATACAGTTCTTCAAACATACTGCAATCGTATGGCGTTCCAGATTCCTGGCGATTCGCGTGTCAGAATTTCTCTTGATACTGATTTCTATATTATTCGCGAAGACAATTTCGATGATGTGAATCGCCGACCAGAAGGTTATTGGCGAAGAATGGATATTATCGATGATAACTTTATTAAATTAGCTCCTTCGGAATGTGTCAAGTTTCCTTATGCAGTGTTGGAAATAAAACATAATTTAGGGGAAGGAGAGAAGGAACAGGACTGGGTTAAGGAATTGGTGGGAAGTAACTTGGTAGGTTTTTCCCTCTTGACTTTTCATGATTCAAATATGAGATATGTCGTCCCTGCTAAAGAAATTGGAACTTAATCTTTAGGTCGAAGAAGCTCCGCAATTTTCAAAATATGTTCACGGAGTAGCAACCCTGTTTACATCTAAAGCCCCCTCTCTGCCTTATTGGGTAAATAGATCCACGTGTAGTTTCACTTTCATCTATTCATTAAGATTTAATTAACACCATTATATTTGTTCTACAATGTTTGTAGCTGCCCAACATTGATAAAGACATACTCAAACCTCCGAATGTACGTCAACCTGATGAAAATGATGAACCGGCATCTTCATCATCAATTTTAATCGCGCCCGGACGTTCAAGGCGTGGTATAGGAAAAAGTGCAGTTGACGTTGGGGACGCTGGTGATCCTAAGAATAAGGGCAAAGCGATTGCCTTGAATATTGAAGAAGACGAAGAACAGGTTGACGAAAGTACACCATTGCTCGAAGAAGTCGAAGATGCACCAACAAACAAGCTTATTGGCCTTACAACCTTCAATAGAATCTTTCGGAAAAAGTCACCCGACCCGTACGCCCTTAACTTTAGAATCCCAGTTAAGGTTGGAGGGCCTATTCGCGTCGAACCCAAGGTTTACTTCGCAAACGAAAGAACTTTCTTCTCTTGGATGAGGTTCAGTGTGCTATTAGGCACATTATCTCTGGGATTGTTTAATGCGGCTACTTCAGAAAACAGACTTGCGATGCTTTTTGGTGCAATATATGCATTAATCAGCGTTGGAGTTTTGATATATTCTCTATTCAGATACAAAAAGAGATGTAAAATGATTAACGATAAATACCCCGGCCCATACGGTAAAAATTTTTTTATTTATCACATATCTTCATTGGTTCCTGGACTAACCAATTGCCTCTGCAAAAAAAAAACTCATCAATAGACGACCTGTTTGCACCTACATTTGTATGTTTTGCGATTTTTGTTGCGATTGGTTTGAATTTCTACTTTAAATTTGCTCCCAGGATGATCGAGGGTGGCGAAAATACCAATGAAACCACCAATGAAACCGTTATGTTTAGCATTCAATTATAAAGGCTGAGCGATTAAATGTGCTCCGTATATTAGTGGAAATTTATCAATACATACAGCTAATCGGATTAAATCAACTTGGGGTATCGAAGTATCGGCGTGCAATAAGTGGTGTACATAAAGATTTCAGTTTCTAGTGAAAGAACATTTAATTTTACCAACCTTTTGTATTTTTTTTTATGTATTCTATTTCGGTCAAACTGTTCTGCGAAACTACAATACAGTGGAACAAGAATGGCGCAAAATTATTTAAAACGAAAAAATAAAAGTTTCATTTTTATTAAATGGCACATTTTTTAAAATTAAACTAATAATATCGACTCAAATGTTATATAGTTTATTAATCAATAGAATACGTAAATACTGTATCTACTGATTCTCTGATTATACACAATAAAGATATTTATCAAAAGTTTTTGAACTTTCTGATTAATAAAGTCTTATTATCCTTAAAACAACTTGAAGAGTATCTTCAAGAGTCACTATTACATTTTCTTTTTTGTTTACAAATCTTTGATCAAAAATTTTATTTTTGATAATTAAAAAAATTTTTTTATATAATATTTTTATTACCAATAATGAAAAAGATCCTAAATTCTTGAATAATATAATATTTATTAAAAGTAATTAATAAACATAAAATATATTGATTATTAAAATATAAACAAACTTATATTAATTATATTTATTTATTTTAATTATTTTATGATGATTAGAAAAAAAAAACCATTGAAATATATTTTTTTAATTGAACAAATTCTTTAAAAAACAATTATAATACTAAAAGATATAATAAAATTTTTTAAATATTAGTATTGCCAAACTTTATTAAAGATTTCATGAATAACAGAAAAGAAAAACTTTTATATATTACATATTCAAATTATTCAAAACAAATAAAGTAATACAATAGAAGATCTTCATGAGAATACTTCAGATTATTTCTGAGACAAAAGAGCTAATTAAGATCTAATTAGTGTAGAAAAAATTTCTAAACTATATGAGTCACCAAAAATAATTACAACAGATTAAATTAGATCAAATTTTAACTAAAATCGATTTAATTCGGTTTTTATAAATATGAATTAGATATGGATTTGATTTATTTTAAATTAATTCAATTAATTAATTCAAAACTATAATAATTTGATCTGAATCTAATTCAATTCAATTCAAACCTAATCTGAATTCAATTCAATTTATTTTAAATCCATTTTGAAATATATTTAACTATAATTGTTTTTTATTTAACCAAATTAAATTGAATATATTTAAATTAATCTGACTTTATTTTAACAAAAAAATTTTAACTATATATTTATTTTCAGAAATATTTTTTAACTTTAAATTTAAAAATTTTCATTTTATTAAATTCAAATAAATATATTTATCCTATTCATAATTATTTATTTGCTTCTATATTAATATACTCTCCATTATAGCCAATATCTTGTAAAATAATTTAATTTTTTGTTTTTTTTTTTTTTTTTTTTTTTTTTTTTTTTTTTTTTTTTTTTTTTTTTTTCATTTTATTGTTATTTTTTTTTGTTTTTTTTTTTTTATGTATTAGTTTTTTTAATTTTTTTT